CCACCATTGTGTCGAGTGCGGTAGGACTGAACCGTACACACAAATACAGCTCCGGAGACACACACACTGATCTTCATACTAATTCCGTATCAAACTTGGCGCAAGAACTGAAATTGTTTTCTAAACATCCTGTGTCTTTATTGTTATATGTGCACACTGTTTGTTTTTTAAGTTTTTTATTTTCTACATTGAAATTGAAATCTATATTGTAATGTGAACTTACTTGGGGTCCCTCCTACTTGTTAAAATTTACAGCTGTGTCATGTGTTTCTGTTTCACTGTGGTTGCCCATCCTTTTGGCTCCCGCCATTCCCAAAGTCTTCTGAATCAGGTCCAACTCCTACAGTTGCTTTTACTATTCATCTCTAGCACTGTACTTAGAGGTAACACATACTGGTTACACCAGCAGATCTATCTTCGTAGAAACTAAGAAAACTCCATCTGCTGATTAAGACCATGTGATATGATTGACAGCTCTGGAAAAAATAGTAAGTGGACCTTGAGTTGTGATATTTTATTGGAAGTAAAAAGTAATTTTGATACAAAGGAGAAAGAAACTACCTTGAAGCACTTTGATATGACATTAAATTACACACACAAGCTGCACGTATGATGGTTACAGCCCAGTAAAAACACACTTTGAGACAGAAAGTTCAGCAGACGCACACAGCTTTCAGGCAATTTAAACTTATGACAAGACCCCTTTCAGATACTGACAAAGAGACAACAACAGGAACTGAATAAGACATTTGAAAATACATGGGGATAGAGAACACAAGAGGGGGCAGAGAAAAACATCAATCCCGCAAACTTTCATTTTCAGGCTATCATCTGCTGTGAAGGAAAATGAAAGAGGAGGAAAGCAAGAATTTGAAATGAAAGAATGAGAAAAGCACACTTATGGTGCAGTCAGAAAGGAGGTTTTATATTTGGTGTGTGACAGATGGTCTGCCAGAGTTATCCAGACGAAGCCGACCGCCTTTCACACTGTGGAGTTACCATGTCTAAAACTTTCTGGAAATCTTGCAGCCGTATTAGACCGTTTTTTTTTTCCATCCAACACGTTATAGAAAAAGTTTTGAAACTTTTGATTTGCAGAGAAGATGTCAATATGTTTCTTCCAAGGCGGACTGGTTGACTTTACTCACTCTTATCATTGAATGAACTCTGAGATTAAAATATGTGATTCTGATGCCCATGAAAGAACCAATCCAGCAGACTTTTATCAAATTTCCTCAATCCATTTAATGACACATACATTTTTAAACCCTTCTTCAAGTATGAAACTGATGAGTGTGTGATACTCAAATAGGTAGATTTGAGTGTGAGAGTACACTTTAAGAGGCGCCAATTTCACACATGAAGTTCAGTTTACTTGTCACGAGGAGTACTACTCAACCTGTGAAAACAATTGCATAGTGCCTTCTATGACAAGCCGATTCAGCATTTATTAGCTAGTTAGTCTGACTATCCGTAATTAACATACAGATGTGAATGTCATTTTGACTAGTAGTAGTTACGTTGTGACTAGTCAGAAGATTAATTCAAGATATCTTTAACAGTAGTCTGACTAATCAAAATGAGATATCTGGATCTGTGACATATCTGTAATTAAGTTTTGACTAGTCAAGATTAAATTACAGATGACAGCAGTGATGTCACTGGAAATGACACAGGACTTGTCATACATCATAAAGGACAACTGCAGATATATGTAATTCAATTTTGACTTCTCCGAATAATAGTCGCAGATATCTCAAACATCATTATGACCAGTCTGAATTGTTGTGCATGACGTTGCTCATGCGAGGCTTCCCATTGGACATTGGCCTAGCAAAGCATTTGAACCTTAGCAGAAGCAATGGTGGTGGCTGTTGTGGACAAGATGCCATGAAATAGAAAGAGCTTATCAAGGGATTTGTGGCCAACAAGATCTTTTTTTTTGAGTTTTGCTCAATAAGCACCACTTTCAACAAAATGAGAAGGATGCAAGATGGCTCACTCGTTAGCTATTTCCATCATCAAAAGACTAAGTGGCTCCCGCCTCCCACAACTTGCCATAGCTTCTGACTTAAATACAGATATCTGCAAGGTCATTTTGCCTACAGTATAAAACTCTAATTCAAGATAATTGTAATTACAATTTGACTTGGTAGAATGAAAGTTAAAGATATCTAAATATTCATAATTGAATTGTTCTGCATTGTGATTTGTTAAACAATTCACATTGCAGATATCTGCAACTGAATTGTAAAAATCTGTTTGTGAGAAACCCCATACACCCAAATGGCAACACTTCACTATTTTGAATCTTACTTCGTCAAAATTTAATTACAGATATCTTTAATTCTAATTCTAATAAAAATGTAATGAGTTGCTTCATGGGAATTGTAGGATGCAGCATTTTTGGAGCTTCACCTAACAATAAAATGTTTATATTTCTTTTTAACTCTATTTTGCTCTCCACCAACTTCTGAGGGAAACATATTAGAAGTTTGTCTGCCGGGTGTTTGGTGCTGTGCAGGTAGTATACAGTGGGTTTATTAGAGCATTATCACTGAAAACAGCTACCTGCTGTGGCTAAAAACAAGCCTTATGACACTAGAGTTGTGGACCACAAAGCTAAAACAGTGAGCTCAAAGAAGTTATAATGAACCATACAGCTGAGGGAAATCACGGAGTGAAGTAATACTAGTCTTTTTCATTGTGCGTTTACGAGTTTCACATTATACATAGTCATTGGACCATTGTCAATATAATAATATTTACTATATCCAGGAAAGCTAATCACTGAAGTTTTAGGATTCAAATAATTAAATTAAGAGAACATATATAAAGAATATTAATACACACACATTGGTGGTGGTTGAAGTGTTGTATAATTGTAATGCACAATTATTATTATTATTATTATTAGTAGTAGTAGTAGTAGTAGTAGTAGTAGTAATATACACTGAATGGGAGTAGTACTTGAAAATAAGGTGCTTTAAAAATAAATAATAAAATACATACAGGTGCTGGTCATATAATTAGAATATCATCAAAAAGTTGATTTATTTCAGTAATTCCATTCAAAAAGTGAAACTTGTATAATGTATAAATTCATTCCACACAGACTGATATATTTCAAGTGTTCATTCCTTTTAATTTTAATTATTATAACTGACAACTAATGAAAACCCCAAAATCAATATCTCAGAAAATTAGAATATTGTGAAAAGGTTCAATATTGAAGACACCTGGTGCCACACTCTAATCAGCTAATTAACTCAAAACACCTGCAAAGGCCTTTAAATGGTCTCTCAGTCTAGTTCTGTAGGCTACACAATCATGGGGAAGACTGCTGACTTGACAGCTGTCCAAAAGACGACCATTGACACCTTGCACAAGGAGGGCAAGACACAAAAGGTCATTGCTAAAGAGGCTGGCTGTTCACAGAGCTATGTGTCCAAACACATTAATAGAGAGGCAAAGGGAAGGAAAACATGTAGTATGAAAAAAGTGTACAAGCAATAGGGATAACCGCACCCTGGAGAGGATTGTGAAACAAAACCCATTCAAAAATGTGGGGGAGATTCACAAAGAGTGGACTGCAGCTGGAGTCAGTGCTTCAAGAACCACCACGCACAGACGTATGCAAGACATGGGTTTCAGCTGTCGCATTCCTTGTGTCAAGCCACTCTTGAACAAGACACAGCGTCAGAAGCATCTCGCCTGGGCTAAAGACAAAGAGGACTGGACTGCTGCTGAGAGGTCCAAAGTTATGTTCTCTGATGAAAGTAAGATTTGCATTTCCTTTGGAAATCAAGGTCCCAGAGTCTGGAGTAAGAGATGAGAGGCCCAGAATCCACGTTGCTTGAAGTCCAGTGTAAAGTTTCCACAGTCAGTGATGGTTTGGGGTGCCATGTCATCTGCTGGTGTTGGTCCACTGTGTTTTCTGAGGTCCAAGGTCAACGCCGTCTACCAGGAAGTTTTAGAGCACTTCATGCTTCCTGCTGCTGGCCAACTTTATGGAGATGCAGATTTCATTTTCCAACAGGACTTGGCACCTGTACACAGTGCCAAAGCTACCAGTACCTGGTTTAAGGACCATGGTATCCCTGTTCTTAATTGGCCAGCAAACTGGCCTGACCTTAACCCTATAGAAAATCTATGGGCTATTGTGAAGAGGAAGATGCGATACGCCAGACCCAACAATGCAGAAGAGCTGAAGGCCACTATCAGAGCAACCTGGGCTCTCATAACACCTGAGCAGTGCCACAGACTGATGGACTCCATGCCACGCCGCATTGCTGCAGTAATTCAGGCAAAAGGAGCCCCAACTAAGTAAGAGTGCTGTACATGCTCATACTTTTCATGTTCATACATTTCAGTTGGCCAACATTTCTAAAAATCCTTTATTTGTATTGGTCTTAAGTAATATTCTAATTTTCAGAGATACTGAATTTGGAATTTTCATTAGTTGTCAGTTTTAATCATCACAGTGAAATAAAATAGACATTTGAAATATATCAGTCTGTGTGTAATGAATGAATATAATATCCAAGTTTCACTTTTTGAATGGAATTACTGAAATAAATCAACTTTTTGATGATATTCTAATTATATGACCAGCACCTGGATATTATAAAATATATTAACAGAATAAAACTGTAACAACACTAAAGAAAAACTTACAAAAATACTTATAGGCACTAATAGTATATTGAACATTTATTTGATATAATTACAACTACAAGCATCTACAAAAGGAGAGTAGCCACAGTACATTTTGACAGACATGTGACTTCTTGTACATTAGAGTTGAAATGCCACAGAAAAATCCCAAACTAGTGCTTACAGCAGAAGCAACAGCAGCATTTTCTTGCAAGATAGGTTCTGTTTAAGCGGACAGCAGAGCCTCGCGGCCCACACGATTGACACGGGGATCTCTGAATGACGTCAGTCGGTGGTGCTGCCTTCCAGGAGTGTAGAGGAAGAGAGAGAGAGAGAGAGAGAGCGCAGCAGAGGCTGGAGAGCAGCTCGTCTCCCACAGAGGTAAGACCGGAGGAGAGTGACTTTACCAGGGACACAGATGACGGTAAACCCGCCTGAACTCACTTTATGAATCTGTCAAATACTTTCTTGCTGCATTACATTTTATCGACTGATTATACAGCAAGTCGTCTTAGCTTACATTTCGTAGGTAATATCTATATGTTACACGAGGACAGTGAAGAGTGATGTTTTATTTTATTTTACAAAAGTTGTTTTTTTATTTATATATTTTTATAAATACTAGGCTATATACGTGTTTTTTAAATTTGCCCCACATATCTGGTTGTTGCGCATGGATTTGGAGTTATTTTCTTATGACTACAGGAAATTATGATGCATGACTAAATCAAGTTGCTTTAATTGGGTAAAGTTTTGTTTGTGCTGTGTATTTATGATACATGTCCTTTAGAAAGAGAAAACCCAGTTAACAGTTGAAAGTGGGATCCAAAAAAAAAACTGGCATTTGCGTCTTTTCATTGATTTCAGGCTGTTGGCAGTGAAAGCTGCACCTTTTGTCCATTAAAGCGCATTCCCTCTATCTCCAGTGATGTTTAAAAGATGTACCGGTCAACTAATTAATGTCCATATCTCTCTGTTGTCCAGATTTTGATATGCGCCACTTGTGCGTAAAACCCTGGCACCGTCTCCAGAGCGCGCAGGAAGCACCGAGAGGAAACACCACCACCCAAATCATTAAAAAACATCGTTAACCTTCTCGTGGACACGTCCAATTTTTAAACACTCTTTTAAAAACATTTTTAAAAATTTGGAACCGGAGGAAGAGAGAATCGGAGGAAGAGTGGAAGGAAATCTTGTGCTAGGACCGTCCCAACATCGGAAGACAGAATATGATTTTCACGCCGACTTCATGAAGGAAAACTTAGGGAATTAATTCGAGTGGAGACAAAGTATCAAATGTTTTTAAATAATTGGAAAATCAACCCTGAAACTAAACTGATAGATGTTGAGTGAGCATGAAGCAGAGCCTCAGAGCGTTTTCACATCAAGGACACTCCACATTTCAGATCCACATTTCACCGCGGACTAACCCTCCTAGAGTGAGAATTTTTCGGAGAAAAACCATTTGACAGAATTATTATTTATGCATATGATTTCCTTACATCATTCTGTAACTGTCTAGTAAGCATTGAGGTAAGAGTGCACAGTTTACATAAATTCTTGCATGTACTGTCTTTTTCATCCAGAAACTGAAACAGAGAAATTACTGACCCTATTTTAAATAGTGGACCTGCTGTTACCTTCTCAGTAACATGCTGTTTTTCCACTGACCTCCAATTGGGAACTGTTGCTCTAAATACTGGTCTCTTCTATATTGTCTGCTAGTGGTCAGAGGCCAAGCTCCTCACTAATGATGTAATTGAGAGTGGTCCCACTTTAACTTAACCTGCCCAACTTTTTAGGCTCTATGCCAATTTACTGATGTATCCTATGTGAGAAGATGTCTAAAAATGAAGACAAATAAAATATTTTCCTCTATCTTGAATTCCCTCCAATGCTCAGAGACTCTTAGTTTGCCAACGTCCGTATAACTTTCTCTTCAAACATGGAGAATGTGTCTATCCCCAATGGTGCACCACCAGTCTGTAATGACTCTGTGGACTTCTACTCCCTCACGACAGGAAACCTCACTGACCTGAACTGCACTCCTCCTTACTTCTACGCTGACCTGTATGTAATTTTACCGGTTATCTACTCTGTAATCTGCGCAGTGGGATTGACAGGTAACACGGCTGTCATCTATGTGATCCTCAAAGCCCCCAAGATGAAAACAGTAACCAATATGTTCATCCTGAACTTGGCCATTGCAGATGATTTGTTCACTTTGGTGTTGCCAATCAATATAGCCGAACACTTGCTTCACTACTGGCCTTTTGGTGAGGTTTTGTGCAAAGTCATCCTTAGCATTGACCACTACAACATCTTCTCCAGTATCTATTTCCTGACAGTTATGAGCATCGACCGCTATCTGGTTGTTTTGGCCACAGTGAGGTCTAAGCGCATGCCTTACCGCACCTACCGTGCAGCCAAAATCATTTCATTATGTGTCTGGATCCTCGTTATCCTCATTGTCATGCCTTTCACTGTTTTTGCTGGTGTCTACGTCGACCCAAATGATGGGAGGAAGAGCTGCGTGCTCAGTTTCCCCAGCCCTGAGAGGTTGTGGTTCAAAGCGAGCCGGATCTACACACTCATCCTGGGCTTCGCCATTCCAGTCTCAACCTTCTGCATATTATACACCATGATGCTCTACAAGCTGAGGAACATGCGACTCAACAGCAATGCCAAGGCGCTGGACAAGGCCAAGAAGAAAGTAACCATCATGGTGTTTATTGTCTTGGCCGTCTGCTTGTTCTGCTGGACTCCGTTCCACCTCAGCACCATCGTGGCTCTGACGACGGACTTGAGGACCACACCACTGCTGATTGGGATCTCATACTTCATAACCAGCCTGAGCTACGCCAACTCCTGCCTCAACCCGTTCCTCTATGCGTTCCTGGACGACAGCTTCAGGAAAGCCTTCAAGAAGATGTTGGAATGTAGACCTGCCTGAATGTACCATAGTACCACACATGAAACCTGTTGCAAAGGTCTACAAAGACTTACTGAGTGAGGACAGACTGTGATGGAAAAATTAGATGGGAAGGATTGAATCAAATCAAATCTGAATTCCTCTGAATTGATTTGATTGGTTTGTTAAAGCTGCACTAGGCAATTTTGCACATTGTTTGCACATGATACATTTTATATATCTTTAATATATAGAAAGCATGTAAAATTATTCCTTTAAACTGCACACAATGTAACATTCACGTTAATGAGACTATAAATCCTTTAAACACACACACAGTAAACCAGAACATTTGTGAGTTCAGATTCATCTAGACAGAGAGCTGTCTGAGTGTCACTTGAGTTTAAATGAATCACTTCCTGTGGTTGGAGAACTTGTGCAGGCACACTTCAGTCTAATGCATTTTATGAGGGAAAAGATTATTTTCTTTGTCACAGCTGGACTGTTTGTATTTTTACAGAATTTGCCTAGTGCAGCTTTGTATGGCTCTAAAAGCAAAGTGAGAGATGTTGACAGAAATGGGCAATATAGCTTGACATAGGGATTGATATTGACATAGGCATCGATTCTAACTTTGCTTAACCAGTTCTTTTGATTACACAAGACAATAATGGTATTAAAAACCAAAAGCATGTTATACTGGACATCTGCTATGTGAAAAAAAATACAGTTAAACACAATGTCAGTGACTTGCATTGTGTCAGTTAAATCAATGTCATGAGAATTTTCAGGGTTTAAGGGTAACAGGATGCATGTCAGGGCAATACAGATATTTGTTCATAAATTGTTACAAAATTGGTTGGATGACTTGAGAATTTTTTGTGATCATGTATGCAAACACTTAATCTGCCTTTAAATGATGCTGTGGTGTTTTGAGCAAAGTAATCTCAAAAGAACCAAATGATACATTTTGGGGATTACCTGAGGTTTTAGACTTCTGTTTGTCAGGTAAACAAGCAGGTTGCAGAGGTCAATTTGCTAAATATCACCTGAACAATGAATAAAATGATAGATTGTTTAAATGATGGCGCTGCATAGATGAAGAATGAAGTTCTGGTAAACATTGTTTTTCCAGAATGTATATGCAGCATTTAAGAAATAAAAAAGGAAGCTTACCAACCCTGACAACAGCACTTAATACAGGCTTGGGGCAGGAGGGCTATGTAAAGTGTAATGTGCATTGTAATGTGCGTTTCTCTTCATGTCATTTTTTTTGTGTGCTCTAGTCGCCCCCTGTTGTCAACAGGGGGGTGTTACCTGAAACTGCAGTCAGACATTTGGTGCAAAGACACCACTTTAAAAACATTATGTACAATTTCCCCTTTTTTTCCATGGATATTAGTGAACATGGTATCTGATGTATAATTTCCACCTCATAATGAAGTCAATTCTCAGATGTAAAGATTTTAAATATTATCTGCAATCCATTGAGATTTACAAACATACTGTGCAAAATTAGCATCTATTTCCATTTTGTGTCCTTGAATCACAGTTCAGAGTTTAGTTTGCGCAGCTTAAATCACAAAGTCAATGCAAACTTATGTATTTTATGTGCAAAGGGGAAAAAGAGGGGCTTATTTGAAGCATCACTATGTAAAGCATGATATCAATCAAAGAAGATACATGTAGGTAAGACAAAAAACATTTCTATGCTTAAGAGTTTAAATATGATTTGATAAGATTATTTATTTACAGTGGTATTCCTAAATGTGGTTGTTTGCTGGGCATTTGTAGGACTTGTTGACTTGATGCATTTACATGATGCATGCATATATTTAAAAATTGTAATTAAATAATGATTTAACAGTTTGACCATCATGTAATGTGTCTGAAGCTTCCTCTGGGTGCTTAAAAGTTGCACGCAAGGGAATTACATACTCAAATTTACTGTTGAAAGGTTTCTAGACAAGCAAAAATTCCCAAGAGTAAGAGTCCTGGCACAAGATCTATTTTCTAGTATAAACTCTTAATTTCAACTTAAATTTTACTGTAATTTTCTTTTAAGGCTGCACCATTCTATCAAACAGAAACAACTTGCATGATGCATTTTACTAGAATATATCCTATATATCTGGTGAATTGAGATCTAAAAAATCCTTGCTTGTCCAAACAACACAAGTTTATAAAGAGGGTTGTATAGGCTGCAAAAAGTATTGTGTTCAATGATCCATTTTGATGATTCATATTCTGTTAGAGAGGTTTCTGTCTTCAGTGTAGTACAATTTAACAATAAATAATATTATAGTGTAACAAAAGACAATTTTACATACTATTCTCTTTTAAACATTATAAATCATTACACACTATACCAGTGTGATTCATTTAAGCATCTGATGACTATAAATTCAGCAAAACGTTTTTACTGTTGTAGATGACATCAGCTTGCAGCAGCAGCTCTATACTGTGTGTCCTACTGTAAATAGCTCATTTAACTGTACAAAGGGATGTATAGTGAAATCATGATAAAAAAAAAAAGTCTTGTTAAAATTTGAGTTGAAGATTATAAATCATTGTCTTGTATGCAGCCTGTAATAAGAATCACAACTCATTTATTTGTGCATTTTAGAAGTCTTTCATGTCTGTCAATACCTGCAAATGACTTGATAAATCTAAGTTTATTTTCCCACTGGTATCCATGTCCTGTTTTTTATATTTTAGAATCAAATTGTTTTATTTGACAATTAACGTGCATAAAATTGTTTTCATGGGGTTTATTCAGTCCTGAAGGAAAAAGTATCAGTACTATCGATGGTTGTCGTCAGGTTCACTAGAGAGATTCTTTACATGAGCGACTACTATCAGCCATCACCTGAAGGGCAGCAGGATAGATTAGTGTTTGGAGCTTCTTGTCAGTAAAAGGTCACAGATTCAATCACAACAAGAGCCTGTTGTGTGCCTGATGTACTGCTGAGCAGTCCAGTGGCTCTAAATGCACCAGGAAGATGATGCAGAGTAGCAGACGCTACAGTGAGATGTGAGCATTTAAGCAAGAATAAAAATGAATTATAGTATAATATTAATAAACCAGCAGCATTAATCAGCATTTATTATTATATCACCATTAATTAAAATGCAAATAAAGAGTGTACTCTTAAGCCTACCTGTAGCTACCTGCTCACAATACGACAGACAGAAACTTAGTGATTAGCTGGGGAAGAAAGTGAAAAATCTAGATGCTAAAGAGCCAGATAGTTTTCTCGGGAATTAGTGGAGACCTAATCAGAGATTAATCTTTCCACAATTATTTAATTGATGAAGTTATTTCCTGTATGCCATAGAGCTCCATTGTTGTCCAAAACTATTAAAAAACAACACACCAAAGCCACACAACACTATCACACTGAATGTTCCTTGAACAGACCACAAACACACAGTCCATCCATCCATCCATCGTCAACCGCTTATCCTGCATACAGGGTCGCGGGGGGGGGCTGGAGCCAATCCCAGCTGACATCGGGCGCAAGGCTGGGTACACCCTGGACAGGTCGCCAGTCCATCGCAGGGCCCAAACACACAGTCACTGTAGTTTATTTTGATTCAATCCCACATACACTGTCCTATTTACTAAAGCACCAAATGTGAATTACTCCCCCACTAAAGATAGTCCACAACAAATGCACTTCTTTCTGATTGACACACAGCCACCATTTTAGGAAATCAATTTAAACAAATTAAACTTTATCTTTGTGGTTTATTTCTTCAGTAAGAGTGTCACAGACACTTTATGTAATGCCCTATACTGTTCCTTACCCTTGGACCATTAGTTAAAGAAGCTTTAATTACAGATTCAGTGCATGCATTTGGTATGTTTTGTGTATTTTATGTTCTTGTTTTATGTTATTTATTAAACACAGGTAAAATAGTTAGTATAGTTCTGATATTTAGTATACTTAAATACACTTAAAAATGGTGTACCCTATTGAAAACAAATAGCAGTGAATTACATTAACAGTTTAATTTAATTAGAGACCAAAAGATAGTGGATATTGCACTTAAATTTGCAAAGTGGCCAGAAACATGGTTTTAAGTGAATGAAAATGTTTATATAAATTATAAACTGTTTGCTAACAAGTCATATCAACATTAACAAGGGTAATTTTAGTATTTTTAAACATGGGCCCTATTTTCACATATTTTGAAGTCGAAATGACTAATAGGTTCAAAAGGTTTTGGAATTAATGCATCCATCCATTTGGGGTAATTGCGCTTGTCAAAATTATGTCCACAAAAAGTGCTTCTTTTTGCCACTGGCTTGCTTGATACACAAACTACCAGAATTATATAACTACTTATCCTCATTACTCATTTGCATATAATTTCAATAATCAATATAAACCTGTTAAATGGGCGGCACGGTGGTCACAGCAAGAAGGTCATGGGTTCAAACCCCAGTTGCCCCGGCCTTTCTGTGTGGAGTTTGCATGTTCTCCCCGTGTCTGCGTGGGTTCTCTCCGGGTGCTCCGGCTTCCTCCCACCATTCAAAGACATGCAGGCTAGGATGATTGGTGAGCGTGAGTGGTTGTTCGTCTATGTGTGGCCCTGCAATGGACTGGCAACCTGTCCAGGGTGTACCCTGCCTTGCGCACAGCTGGGATTGGCTCCAGCCCCCTGCGACCCTGTACGCAGGTTAAGCGGTTGACGATGGATGGATGGATGGATGGATGGATGGATGGATGGAACCTGTTTAATGGATTTATAAGTACTTGATATAAATTTAACAAGGGCACCAGCCTTTGAGGACAGAGTCTATACTGAACACAGTATGATAATTTCAGAACTGTGAGTATGATGGGGAAATCCACTTTTAAGATCTATTTTTTTCTTCAGAAAACAGAAGAAAATAGCTCAAATTAATTTCCCCTGGGGTGTTAAATCATTCATAATGGTTTCTCTTTATCTTTTTCTGCATCTGCTTTGTTTTAATCTCTGTTGGAGTAGTGTAAACACTAAGACCCAACTCTGGTTCCGCTTTCCACTTCAACAGTGTTGAAGTTAAAAGGGACCCCAGCAGCTAATAAGATCAGACAGACACTTTGCTGCAATGTGAACGTTAAGGGTTTTATTCAACCCCAAAATTTGAAAAAAATGCTTTTTGGTTGTGGTGGAAATTCAGCTGTTTGAGTGAAACTGACACATAACTTAATGCATATATGAGTACATTTGCATTATGTGTATGTGTGTGTTTGTCAGAAAAAGACAATAATGGACGAGCGACTCCAAGTGGTCTATCTATCTATCTATCTGTCAAAAATTTTAATTTCACGGTTTGTGATAAGACATTATTTTCACTAGAGGGCAGAGTTGGTCCATGTTGATCCTCCTTCTGTGTCACCTCCTGTAGGTAAATTCATTCTGTCTAATATTTTGACTGTAAACACAACAACATAATATGTTTCGCTTGTTGTCACTTCCATATTTGAATAAAACATCAATGGATTAAATAAAGTTCCAAACAAAATGTGGGAACAAGTGAAATTACTAACTGAGATGATTTTCCAGATGTAGTTAGGTGGAGAATAACAACTGTAGATGGCAGTGTGTAGCTGTAGATGTGATGTGTGCATGAGCATATGTATTCCCTAAAGGGCTGATAGAAAATCTGGTCAGCATTACATTTCCTTCAAAATGTATTTGCTGTTTTTAATTAATTCTATATTACATTTACTCATTTAGCTGACACTTTTATCCAAAGCAACTTACAATTGCTATATATATCAGAGGTTGCACTCCTCTGGAACAACTGTGTGTTTTGCTTAGGGATACATTAGTGGATGTGTGGCTGTGGGAATCAAACTAAGATCACCTACACCAAAGGCAAGCATCTTATTCACTGCTCCATCGCCACCCCTTTATAATTTCTAGGAGAAAGGGTTGCCTCTGAGGAACACAAGGTCTCTTCCAATTTCATGAATATCCTTCTAATAGCTGTTAAGATACTTCACTCTGGACCAAAGTGTAAACAGTTATATTTTCATCCAGGCTTACATTTGCCCAAAAATTATTTGTTAATGCACAACAGTTGCAAATGGATGTTGAAGGGACAAACACACACACACACACACACACACACACACTGTATAACCTTGGAAATGTTTACCACTAAAAGGTCATATGAAGAGTTGATAGATGTCCCATACACATCCTCACTTCACTCCACACACACACACACACACACACACACACATTTGATCTCACTTGTCAATCTCTACCTATCGGGAATCAGTACAGCATTGATTGAGCAGTTATTGTCATTCTTCTTTATACACACACGCACTTGCATGTTATAGTGTGTCATTTACGTCAATATTACGTGAATAAATAAATAAATATGCATATGAAATAAATAAATACGTCTTTGAAATAAATAAACGAGGGAATAAATATATAAAACTAAATGTAAATTTAACTATATAAATGAGTCAGTATAGCTCAATGAATAGGTTTGAAAGGACTGAATTTATTAAAAAACATCAGAAACACTTGACAACATATAAGAGGGATGATCAAATGGCAACAAACAATAGGTAGGCACTCACTTAAATATACAAGGAGGGAGGTGATTAACAAGATGGAAGAAAGGCATGTGTTTGGGGAGTAGGAGAATGGGGCGTCTGAAAAGTAATAAAAATATCCTTTCCTTACCACCTTTCCTTGACCTCGATGGAAAACGTCATGAGGTCAAGGAAAGATGTGCAGGAGAATTCATAAGGACTTAGGAACAACTGCTCTTTTCTAGGTGACGTAATTATGCAAGGAGGATGTTACTGACGTGACCTGCCATGATAAAACTACAATGTCCCAAAGATGGACTACAAAAAGCGCATCTCTGACACTGCGCCCCATATTGCTTTAATGCAGGCCGTCTAAAGGTGGACAACAGGTGAAATATATTAGTACTTCATAATCAAGATAGCAAAAAAGCCCTGTCACTCTGAAATAATGGACAGGATTGTTACATTGAGAATGCTTGCTCACACTTACTCTCCTGCCCACCCATATTTATCAACATGAATCCCAATTATTGTTTGCACAGTGTTTCTCAAAGAATGACGGCGTAACTGTAGAGAGAGAGAGAGATACAGAGAGAGGGAGCGACCGAGCGAGAGGAGGTTCTGAGCGAATATGTTCGCTGTCCCATTTTAGATCGCGGTCAGCGTTAAGAATGTGGTAGGCCACCAGAAATAAATCAGTGTGTGGGAAACACTGAAATAATACATTACATTTACTGTAGAGGTCATCCAACTTCATCATTGCCTTTATTAAGGAGAGGGTGTTAGCATCTGTGACTGAAGTAAAATGAGTAATAATATTGCTCAAGGCTGGAAATACATAACTTGAACCTACACGCTGCAACATTATCCTCACTTTGATCACACAAGACCAGTAACAAAGCTCACATGGGTCTCAGTTATTGTTGACAATTCAAGATATGCTTATTAGCAAGTTATGGCATAAGAAAGGCTTAATAGCCAATGGTAACTTACATGGTGATCAACATCCTTTATCTGTCATGGTTGGTGATTTCTCTTGTAGAAAACACTTTATAGCATATTTCAACAATCCGAAACATATAACTGTGTTGAAACAGCATCAGATTACAGCGAAGCCAAAAGAAAACAAACCAAAAGAAAG